CCCCCCCCCCCCCCCCCACCACCACCACCACAAGAATTGTATAGAAAGCGAAAACACTGTTTCACGCAGTTGAAGCAAAGATTATATAGGCCTATTAATAATACTGGTGTAATTGACTAAAGTAATGAATAAACGTTGTTGAAAGATATCCAAATGTTTAGAATTTCTTGTGCCTTTGATAAAATGAGCAAAGCCACCATATCTAAATTTGTGTACATAAGAAAAAAATAGAATAATGATGAAGTTTAGACGATAAGAATTGCGAGACAATGTGATGGAATTAAAGTACAGACATGCTTGCTAGATTTTGATCCAAATTCCAATAAAAAGATAAGCGAGCGTCAATACAAATAAAGATGTGCGAATAGTTTTGTAAATGCCGTATTCGAATTCCAATGGCCCGTTCCAATTGTGCAGAGAGAAGTATCATTTCACCTGCAGTCTGTTATTAAATTGTTTTGCTAAGGTACAGCTAAAGCTCGAAACCATTCAAAGCGATTCATGTGATGAAATATCATATTATTAGCTAAATATCTAGCTGTAGTATCATTATAAAATGTTAAATTAGAAGCAAGATTGCCAAATACGATACTAATAACTAGAAAACTGAGTAGAATTATATCAGATAAAACTAATGGAACAATACTTCAGTTAAATTGCTCCTTTGAAAAAATTGCGGTTGGTTTTAACAAAAATATTATAGCATCGCTGTGGCAGAATTCAAAATAAAAATCAGTAATCGCGCTTGACATTTGTTGAACTATTGATGATGAGACATTGATACAATTAGATAAATTTTCTTGAGAAAAATTATCACCAGTATTTGAAGTTGAGTTAAAGGGTACTTCTTGTTGCTTGGATCGAATAAATTGACATCGCTGCGGTAATTCATCATGAATGAACCATGATTCGCATCCATCAGGCCAAAGTATCTCACAATGGTTTTCACCACTATTCACAATGCACGTATTGATCAAGACAATATTATTGTATTCAACTAATGTAATGTGAGAATAATCAAGTTTTCAGTTTTGGTAAGTCTCTTGAGTTTTGTGTCAAATTTTCAATTAACTGTTATGTTTGACATGTAGTTTTTAAACTTAGATTGATTTTGTATATTTTGGGTGTGGGTGTGGGTGTGGGTGTTGGTGTAGATGGTGTGCATCTGACTATGATATTCACACCCCACACCTACACCCACCGACACCCACATCCACACCCACACCCACACACCCACCAACACCCCACACCCAAAACGGCTTGAGTCAAAGTTTATAAAACACTTCCCTCTATAAGAATATCCTAGATTGAGCATAATGTGAAGATCTTGTTTGAGCAGCATTTCTATGTTGTAGGTCGTGGCTTACGTGGAATAGCTCTTATATGTACTCATTTGAATGTTGATATATAAAGGGATATGTTCAAATTGCCTATCTAGTCCAACGGCTACTTTAAGTAGGAACTTCTTTCAAATGTGGTAGTTCGATTACAGTCTAGACCTTATATGAATGATTTTAAGCTAAAAATTGACCTAACCCCGTCTGTTTTTAGCAGACGCTTTATTAAACAATACTATTAGCTGATGTGTTAGTAAGGGAATGAATTTTTTGGTAGAAATTTTAAATGGTTTGGCACGTTTTTACAATATTGTTGTAAATGTGTTTTGAATCATTATCCCTGAGAAAGCTGAAGATAGACTGTTTTTTTCGGACACATATTGATGTCGACGGCTTAATATAGTTCTTTTAATTTTTTTTGAATGGTTGTGGGCATCTCTGGGGTATGAGTGTGAGTGTGGGGTGTGAATGTGAATGTGGGTGTGAGTTTTAGTGTAAAGAAGACTTTCATATCCACAGCCACACTCAATAAAACTAGATAGCAGCTAATCCTCCAGTCGAGAGTCAAGCGAGACATGCTGACGAAAGTTACTTGTTTCTTTACTGTACAGGCTCCGCTTGTAATTGTTCGACCAAAATCAAGTTTGTATGTTGTGTTGCTTTGCGATATAAAATAGACTTATAAGTCGACAAATTTTCTAATGTTGAATTCAGGTCGAAGATGGTTTATTTTCTCTATCAAAGAAAATACATACGCAATCAATACTTGTTTGATATCTCAGTTCTGACCTTGAGATGAATGTAAGTGTGAATTAAGAGAAAAGGAAAAGCTATATCTGTGCTTAAAGCTGAAGTGACGTACAAAACATTAACTTTTGAAGGAGCGATTGTAAAAAGCAGTCCGTTTTTCGTTTGATAATAAGAATCTTGTGTTCTGAAGGTAACGAAACTATCTTCAATTATTGATGCGAATTGGAATTTAGTCAAATAATTTTTCTTTTTGTATTATTTAGATTTTTTTTCATGTGAGGCTCAAGTGTCGGGGGCTCAATTGTCGGAAGCTCAATTGTCGGTAGGCTGAACTGTCGGGTCACCTAAATACACTGATCAAACGTGGTTTATTTCACTTTTATTCGTGCTTTACACATAAGGCTGTTCTAGTTGTATAATGATCGAGTTTGTAAAGGTAGCCATATTTCAAGGTTACAGTTAAGAAGATGTATCCTGTTTATTTTCCCCATAAACAAATCTATGATTCTTCCAATAAAAAAGCAAAAACTTGGAAGAAAACATGGCACGACTATTATGTTCATCAAAATTTTGTTCTTCGATTCGAACTCAATTATCGTATGGATTGCATCACTCACTCTCATCGCACCCTAGATATCTCACCAATTCTGCGTATAAAAGAGTAGTTATTTTCGTTTGCTTCTGCACATATTCCAATCATAGTTGCCACACTTTAGCAACCAATAAATTTCTGGCCTATTCATAAAAAGTACTTTGAGACATCAATAAAAATTAATCATCTCTCAAAGCTTATGTCTGTTTTTTTCAAAAACCTATTCTATAGAACAAAAACTGTTAAATTATAGACAGGATGTATTGCCTATTTTTAATCTGTAACTTTTTTAGTCCATTCTTTTAGAGTTCTATCAATCTATTTGACAGTTAGATTTTCAGAAAAACTCAAAAAGCAACCAGCAATATCTTATGAAAAGAAATCCAAATATTATTTCTTTCCGTTATTCTATTTTCTCGAAATATATTAATCAAGGATATTTTCAGCTTCTTTCTATCTTGCATAAAAAATACAAACTTCAACAAACATGATGCCCTCTATCGCAACGCACATCCATACGAACGATAGATATTCATAACATACGCATAGGCATGTATGACTACGTCGTCCAGTACCTTATGGCCGTTTCTCTATCATCATACAAACCAGTAGAATACCATACGTATTTCTCGTTGTCCATGCTCAAGATAATCCTGCCCATATGTTTAGGAGACTTATACTTTCAAGAAAGATAATTTATTCTTCGCTTTAGCAGAAATCAGAAACAAATTACAATTTCTTCTTCACAAAGTCAATATTTCTTTTACACGTGGCAATTTGAGGATGGATTGAGGGCAGAGATGTTTGGAAGACATTCAGCGCTTTTTCGAAGAATGATAGGGCTCTCGAGTACTCGTCCTTATTGTAATACACATCAGCGATGTTGTTGTAGGATTTGTCGAAGTCAGGATGATTCGGAGGGAGAGCTATTTTCATGATTTCAAGTGATCGTTCGTACGATGCAAGTGCTTTCGAGTACTTGCCCATCCTATCATACACCACACCGATGTTGTTGTAGGAAGTAGCCAAGTCAGGATGATTTGGAGGGAGAGCTATTTTGCGGATTTCAAGTGCCTTTGGTGGAACTCAATAGCTTCACCGTATTTTCCTTGGCCGCTCTTAAACACTCCGAAATTATCATAGAAAGTGGCTTTGCCACGTTCATTGAATACCTGTTTCTGCGATACTGTTTCCAACTATTCCGCCTTGTTATGTTCACCTAATTTCCATAATAGCGCACTCATTCTTACCCATTCACTTGCAGTGATATCATCTCGGATTCGTTTGGTAAGGGCATGAAGTCGTTCATCGTCGTTTTCGCCGGTGATGTTGAGTTTTACTTCCCACATGGTTATTCCGCTCTCGTTAATTTTTCCTATTTGCTGGATACGAAAAACAGTGTGCATTAAAAACAGAATTTCTCTTTCTCTCTTGCAATAGCTTATTTTGTCGATACGAGCAAACGGAGTCGATGAAATCGCTCGACTAATACTCATGTCAAAGAGAACACATATTGTGTTATTGTTAGGCAGCTCTCTCGAAATAAAACGGATGGCTACCTTCCGATCATCACTTGTTGATAGGAAGTTGTTGAATGAAATGATTCCATCTTGTTGAATTTTATTTTCAAAATCTTCTTTCAACATAAATTGACCGCGGTAAATTGTCATGGGTGTTCCACGAAAAATTTCATTCGGCTGATCTGTATGGAGTCTATGAAGGTTTCGATGAAGATCTCTAATGAAAATAGCCATTTTCAACAGTGTTTCAACATGTAGTGTATGAAATGCTTTGTTAAGCATTTGATATGTGAAGCATTCTCGAGTGTACCACCAAATAGGCGTGTTGTTGTTATCTGTATGACTTCGATAGTCTCGAGCGAACTCTTCTATGATTTTCGAGTGTCTATCATTGCCAATATATTTTTCACACGCATAGTCGACTAAATCATTGATTTCTTTCTTCTTCTCGTCGAAGTTTATTTCGAGTATAATTTCTTTGAATAATTGTGTATACATAAATCATGGTTCGATTTGATTCAATGATGGGGATGCAGCACTTATTAATATGGAGTTCTCATCATATTGTTGCATATATTGTCGAACTAAGGCACGTATTTGAGTGATTTCTGTACAAATACCTTTCACTTTATGCCAGCCTGTTGTCATCCATTTATCACACTGTTCTGGTTTGGAACAGAAGACATAAATCGAATATAATTGTGCCATGCCATGAATCATTGGCACAATTGTTTGGCATAAAATTACGGAAATAATGAGAAAAACCTTGTTGTTTTGAAAATCTGTAACATATTCGATACATTAATCTGCCTTGCGAAATGTTTCAATAGTATTGACTACTTGCCGTAATTGTTTGATCGAATTACAATAGTCAGCACTAGATGGATCGATTTTTTCATCAAGCCAAATTAAAAGGAAATTTTGAACAATACCATTTGGATCAGTACGATGTTTCGGATTTGAACAGTCTTCCAACTGCTGGCTTAATATAGGAGGCGATGATGGATTAATATGCTTCTCAAAATTCGAAACTGCTAATGATGCACTGCAATCCATTTCTCATAGCTGCGCAAGTACGAGTACAACTTGTATTACCTTTTTTCTCCTAGAATTCTGGATTCATGTACTTTAGGTGCTATGTACTTTGTATTATATATAATACATAGGGAAGTCCTTGTATAATACATAGTACATAAAGTACATGAATTCCAGAATTCTAGGTTTTTCGGGGGTACATGGGGGGGGGGGGGGGGGGGGGGGAGGGTGAAAGAAAAAAAAAAAAAAAAAAAAAAAAAAAAAAAAAAAAAAAAAAAAAAAAATATAAATGTTTAGTTGTCATNATTGATAGTTAAACGGAGTGAGGGTTGCTATGGATATCAAGAGAAAAGATTAGAGGGATGGGGGGGGGGGGTGGGGGGGGGGGGGGGGGGGGGGGGGGGGGGGGGGGGGGGGGGTCTATGTAGAAGACATAGTACATAATACATAGAACATAAAATACATAAAGTACATAAAGTACATGAATGCTACAATTGTAGTAGAAAAAAAGTAGTACAAGTTGGACTCGTACTTGCGCAGCCCTCCCATTTCTTTGATTTGATGTTTCGTAATGTGATGAGTTATATATTAACTGATCGTCGTTAACTAGGAATGACAAAAGGAAGGCTGTTTGATGACAAAATCTTTTACTTTAAGACGAACGATGAATTTTTCTTTTTCAATTGCAAAAATATTCTTTTTTTCTGTTGCTCACGTTTAAGGATGTTGGTTGCTTAGCTTTGAAAGAAAAGAAAGGGGAAAGATAAACTTTTGTTTCTGCTGTTGCAAACGTTCTCTTGTCGAATAACTGATTTGAATCAACAAATGAAATATCTTATACAAATATAAGCATGAATTGCTTTGCTTCAATAGGGTGTGGCTGTGGGTGTGTGTGTCGATGCGGGTGGGGTGGCTGTTGGTGTGCTATTTTCTTTATCCACTCTGACACCCACACCTACCCACACCTGCCCACACCTACCCACACCTGCCCACACCTACCCACACCCACCCACACCCACACATACACACACCGCACCCAATGCGTTTTCAGAATGCATTTTTTGCAGAAATCTACGCCATGGGCCATCTTTATTGCTCTCTTGTTTATTGATATCTCTTTTGTATAATATAAAACAATGTTTCATTATTCGAGTGATTCAATAAAATTGTTACACGAGATCGAAATCCAAATCTAGGTAGTCTTATTGTGAAACACGATCTAAAAGGAGTGTTGAAGTGTTTAGGGGCAGAAATTTGGACTCACCCCCCCCCCCCAGACCGTGACAGACATGGTTTGTGTCTGTCACGTCTGTGGCAGATAGGGTTTTCGGGTGTCATAGATCGTGAAAGACAGGGTTTTCAGGTGTCACAGACCGTGACAGACACACCTCAGTACCATCACAGACTGTGACAGACAGGATTGCTGACCATCCCTGAAGTGATACACGGGTTCCACACGCATCGTCGATTGTCATGAATTTTTGATACAGGATTAATGAATATATGTTACTAGTCTGTGATAGGAGAATATTTGGTTTTTCTTTATTATAGCATCAGTAGTTAAATGGGAAATGATGAGTGAAAGTGTAGCCGGTTTCATGAAATAAAGCAGGATTTGAATGATTGCTGAGAGCAGCTACATCGTGTTTCACATTTTTAATCCCAAAGGGATTGCGCTAACAGCTTTTTTATCTCTTATTCATTTTATTGAACATGAACAAAAACAAACTGAGTTTTACACACGTTGCTAAATTCATCGATTATTAAAATGCAGACAGAAAATATGCAGTTGATGCTTAGAACAGTTTCGGAGAAACGAATGATTTTAATCATAGTTGTTCATTGTGATTGATTCTTTAGACCGTATTATTTAATAGTTTATAGGAAATGAAGAGAGATTGATTGTTAATGTGGTACTGATCTTTGTGTTCTATTACTTGCGTAGCCGAATTGACATCAGCAAAATGAACAAAGGCAAATCTGATATTAACGAAAAAAACATATAGAAAGCTGTGAGTAACACTTCTAGCTATTTCATACCCTAGTTTAACTCGTTCGCGCGTAATTTTCCCCGCTTGATATTCAATAGAAGTGGCTTGAGGAAAGAGCTGTTGCAACTGGTCGTAAGTGACCGAACCAGGAATTTGGCCAACATGAAGATCTTGAACACTGTATGAACCTAAAATAGTGAAATAAATAATAAGATATTTGCTCAACTGGTTCTAAGCCACTAGTGGTGAAGCACTTATTATTACTTATGACCTTCACTTTCTGGCTAAGTGGTAAGCGCCAAGTGGTTTCTCTGTAATTAGATGCTAGGAAAGCGAAGTTACCGTTATTGACCAGCAACAGTATCAGATAACGGAAAAGATGAAAACGTTTCGGAGCCATTTCGGCAAGAGGGAAACGTTGCACTTTAGTACCCAAAAGTACCCTAAAGGATGGATGAACCATTTTCTCAACTAGAGTAATTACTGTAAAGCTAGTACCTATTCGTTTTGATTTTTTTTTCCTCAGACCAGATTTATTTAAAGAAAATAGCTGAGTTTTATCAAATTTGACTGCAGATTGTTCGGGTCGAGAGATTCGAATTTATAGGTGATTTCTTGAAACTTTAAAATTTGATTCTTTCAGCCTATAAAAATCAACTTTTAATGAGTTCACTAAGGTTGTACAAAATTCTGGTATTTTCTCACTGTAGGCTCTTATCATCGAAAAAATACCAGACTTCAAAATTTATCAGTTACATGACTGGATTGGGAATCCTCAATTCGGAAAATCTTGAGTCAAACATTATCATAAAATAATTTGCTGTTTTCCTTAAGGAGAGCCCCCTCCCCTCCTTAGAAAATCCAATTTTTCAGAGACGAGTCGAAATTGAAGTTTTATAATATGAAGATGCAACGAAGTCTCTTCTTTCAGAATATCTATGGTTTATCGCAAAAGAAATTGATTTTGACGAACTTATCGTCTAAAACTTGACTTCTACTATCATATTTTTCGAGAAATTTTCATGGTATTTTTTCAAGGCTTTTTGACTTTTTAGGCTCCTTTCTCTTTGCATCAGCATTTCGTAAAGTCTTCATACTAATCACTATAAGACTATTAAAACTTAATATTAAGATCACATATTTATGGCCTGCCTTGAATACTGATATATAAATCAATTGGTTTTCGGGAAAATCGCTTTACAATACTTATTTTTCGTTTTTCTCAAAAGTAGGTTTTTTCGCCATGCAGTTTACGCGGGCAGATTTTTCTCCATAACGACTCGACATAGAAGTGATAATTTATTTTTATTATATAGGAGACATGGAGGGCTAAGACTTAACAGGCTCCGATTTTAAAATTTGTCTTTTACTGAAATAAAATACTTAGATATTTCATTTCTATGAGCACTTCGAATTCGAATATTTTTCGAAAAACGTTTTTTAAAAATCAAATAAAGGGAAATTCAAAAATCAGAACCTGTTAAGTCCTAGCCTTAAGGGTACTCTACAACTTGAAAACCGCCCGGCCTTGTTAGCTCTTATACTTATTGCAAAATCCTTGCCCGCGTAAAGGGTAATTAATTGACTAGAACTTGTGTATTTCTTTGAGATTTGGGGAAGATATTTTAACCATAAGTTATTTTAGCCAAGACCAACATTCTCTGAAATTTTGGTTGAAATCAGATGAAAAATAGTAAAGTTCGTTTCTGAGGGGGCCCCCTTAAATAGGCTTTCTTTGATCGAAAAATTCAACTTATAAATTTTCTGTTACTCGATAACATAACTATGTAGTTCTTGACGGCAATTTTCTTCTCAGACCTGTAATTAAATACAGGCCATTTAATACGTATTTGGTAACAGTATAGGAATATGACACCTCCATAAGCTAGGAAAAAACCAGTTGCGATTCTTAGAATTGATTGATATCGGTTAGAAACTAAATTAAGATTCATTGAGATTGTGTTTGAAAATAATTATCATTGGTGAGACTTAAAATTGTATGATACTCTACTAAGGATGGATGGATGGATTTTCGTAAGTTTGATTCAATGGAGTGTATCTAGTTCAAGAAAATTGTACAGTAGCTCTCGCTGATCTAGAAAGGTGACAAGATAAGAGAGAGAGATATGCAGTTTGCACTTATATGACTAGTTCTAGTTACCACCAATCAGTTTTTTCTTGTTTTCTTTCATCAAATGTGAAGGTGGTTCACCAACATTACTAACGAACTACTTTATCCGATATTTGGTAATGGTAGCTGACGCTAGCTACATATTATCAAGTGATGTCTAACTAGCCTATATGCAGTTTTTGGTAAAGGAACGATAACTTCATGTCCCTCAAGTGAATCACATTATTGTCGATCTGTTTTTTGAACATTAAATAATAAGTCTTATTAATCGAAATAGATGAAGCAAATACCTGAATGGCTGAACGAAAATCGAAACAACATTTACTAATCCTTTATTCTTCAACAAAAAGGGTCAAAATTTGTAGCGTAACGTACTAGAGCAACCGGTTAAAAGAACGGATTCTATATAATTTCACAAATCATGAATTTATACATATATGGCAGTGCCCAACTTGACTGGTACCCCAAGATATAGAATAGGAAATAATATTATTTTAAGGAATAGTATATAATGAGTTTTATACCAAATGAAAGTTCGTCAAAAATGAGATTTATTAGTACTAAATAGTAAGGGTTTTGAAAACTTTATAATGTCGAACTTAAGGAATTTTAAAAAATTTTCTACATTAAAAAATGTTAAACAACTCACGTTTTATATATGGAAGAAAAGTACTAGATTTTCCCATAAAATTAGCTTTTGTTCATTATTTCTACTATCTTACATGTTTCGAAAT